TAAAAGATGAATGGCGTTCGTTTCACACTCGCATAACCATCAATTGCAACGATAAGGTCATGGAGAAGAAAAATTTGATGAGATGAACTTTGGTCCTAATTAATACAATTAAAGGAATTAGTACTAAATTAAAGAAAATATATGAAGGTTTAGAAGTGCAAAAATGATTACACTGCAAAAAAATGATAACAGCAAACAGAAGAAAATGAATGATTTTTCAATTAATTTTAATCATTTAAAGCAATGAAATGGCAATCGTTACTCAAAATGACTGACGAATCATACGTTATTGATTCGTTAAAGTTGAAAATGTTAAAAATAGATTTCATTTTATTTTGAAATTTATCATTTAACAAATGGTTCTTTTTTCAGCTCAAATAATTCCCCAAGTAATTCACTAAAATTTAGTGCAAGATTTGTTAAAACATTATGTCTGGAAAATAGAAAAAAAAGAGAGAAAGGAAGAGAAAGGGAAAGGGGAGGGGAGAGAGAGTGAAAAAAAAAAGGTAAGAAGTGACTTTTCCTACAATTTGAAAATACAGAAATGACATCTCCGAATAATTATCCAAACTTTCATTCACCAGTATTTTTTTTTTTAAAGATGGAATAGATAAAAGTGAGTTCATCCCATTTTACTGAACGCATTTTAATAAATTAATGATGGAATGAATTTGAATATGAGAAAAATGAAGGTTGGCAGCATTCCAAACGTGGTTCACATGAGTAGAGACAAAAGGAACAAAAATCAATGCTGTCTTGTTGAAGAATTGAATTGAATGAACATGATGGGGTGTGGAGAGAATGGTTGACCTTCACAGAGAGGGGGCAAAACGAGGAACGGGAGGAGAACGAGGGCCAAGGTCAGTTGGAGTACGAGAGTAAAATAACCTCAAACATCATCCTCCATACATAGCATGTAAGGGTTATCAGCAGCAGATCTCTTCCAGTGACTCACTAAACTCTCAATACCATTCCTACCACCACCACCACCATCATCATCCTCATCTGATAATAATAGTCTGGAGATGTGTTCTGCTCAAGAGAGAGAGAGAGAGAGAGAGAGAGAGAGAGAGAGAGAGAGAGAGAGAGAGAGATGAGATCTTTTTCTCTCCTCTCCCTCTTATTCTTCTCCTTCCTTCCTTCCTTCCTTCCTTCCTTCCTCTCATCACTAACTAATGCAAGAAGAATAGCCAACGTTCGCCATTGTCCTATATCCTCTAGTGAACTTACCTTGAAAAAAAAAAATCGAACTCTTTGAACGCTTAATGATCAAATTAAATGATGGATTCATTATTAATTTTTTGATTATTAATGATGGATTAATTATTGATTTCATTAATTGGGATAAGATCGAAATTTAACAAAAAAATAGAGATACAGTAGTAAAGTAATGTTTATTTTTACATTATGAGTTTTGAGCGTAATCTAGTTCTTTATCATCTTATCACTGCAACCAATTAATTTTTGCGTTAAACTCTCTCTCTCTCTCCCTCTTTTCCTCCCTCTCCTAATTACTCAAAAAAGAGAAAGGTAAAAAAGAAAGAAGACGAGAAGCAGGCACATTTAGCCATTTAGCCAAATAATAATGATATTTATGATAGAGTGAGATCTCGACTTGAATTTCAGTATAAGGCAATTGGTAAGTTTTTGAAATTTCCAACACTGTATTTCAACTCTTGAAAAAAGATTCTTCTTATGGAGCTTTTTTTGTTATGAACTGTGGAAGATATTATATTACGACTAAAATAATTTGGGCAATTTTGTCATCCCTGAAAATCATTAATTTCATGAATTTCATAAATTAAGGAGGTCAAGTTAATAAAATGCATGGATGAATCAGTGCAGAGATCAAAGGTCGGCTAGAATTGTTGGTCAGATATAAATCGGCAAAACTTAAAATTGTTTGTATCGCTAAAAATAACACTGATCGTAGAATAGTCACAAATGATCACTTAACAATATTACAATTTGTATACATTTGTGAGATACTGTTACCTGTAATAGACTCTCTAACAGTATATCGCTTTAATTTTCATTGAAAGTTATTTTGAGCAGGAATTTTTACAAATTTTTCAATAAAAGATTTGATTTAATCTATCACCTAAAAAATGAAACTTCTCTCGGGAGTAATTTTAGGGATGAATTTGTTTTAGATGAAAAATCATTGTGACTAATTTCATCAAAATTATCTTTTGCATAAAATCTCAACAGGCCTCAACAGCGAAACGATTTAAATTAAAATTTTTTGCTGGAAAGCAATTCTACCAACAAATACTTCTCTACTTTTTCTGCTCTTCTAATTTTTACCGCAGACTTTTTGATTTTATACGATTTGCAATTTACAGCGAGAATGAAGACTGATCGAAAAAAAGAAGAAATGTTTTGATGGAACTGGAATCATTTTTAGAACAAAAAAAAGGAAAACCGGAAACAAAAGAGCATTCTTCTTTCTTATTAAAATGAAATATAGCAAGAAAAAGAGGGAGGAATATTGAAGAGAGTGAAGTGTCGTTGAATAAATTTAAAAGATTGATGAATTGATGAAGAGATGCTTCCAATGATTCACAATCAATGCGGGAACCATCGGTGATTTAAATGAATCATTTTTTGAACAGTTTATTAATCACTCATCAATATTTAATGCTTTCTTCTTTTAGCGTTAATAAAACAAAAATATAGTAAAAATAAAAAAAGAATTGACACTTTTAATTAATAAAATATCAAAACTCATTTTGATTTAATCTTGCACTGCAAACAGAAGACAAATAAGTGTGAAATTTTACATTTTTGGAAATTATTTCTCCACATGAAAAACAAATTGCAACATACTATGAGAAGATAAAGTAAGAATGTTGGATAAAAATGATTGGAATTCTTCAAGTATTCAAAGAATTATTCTATCGGAGTGGGAATGGAATGAGTGATATCGTTAAGGATCGCACTGATATACTCCTATGATTATAGCTTTATCATTTGAAGCATGTAACTCTAAATTCTTTCACTAAATCTTCCAGTTAAATGTGTAAAGAAGATATTCACAGAAGAAATGACGTTTCAAAATTTTATCATTAACATCGAAAAAGAAGTATTAAATTGAATGCAAATGATGAAGTAATGACTAATAAAAATCACTTTGAAAAGGACCAAATTAGTATAATATGAATGAATGTAATTAGCAAAAATTGAAATTTATAGTACTATGTCATAAATTTTCCTTTTCAAATATTATTTTTTTGATATTAGAAGAATTTTCATTTTGAGGAAAAAAATGAATGAGAAATTGAAAAAAGCTAGAGAATACAAAGCAAAAAAATTCCTGCTAGATAGAATAGAAGTTAAATTTCGTTCTTTTGTGACAGTAATAGCAATTATGTTATATTATGACTTCATCAATTAATGGTTACTTTTTAATCGTTATTTGAATTAAGAATGCTGCAAATGCAATGATGACGAACAAATATCAAACTGAGGACTGAACTTAAAAATGTTACTTCTTTCATTATTTGGAACAATATGGCCATACCATTGATTTAAAATCAAGCAAAGAGTTGAAAGTCAGAGAATTTTACTGGTAATTTCAATAGTATTAAATGATTTGGTTAATTTCAATACTCCGTCCATTTTTTTTTATTTTAAAATTTTCAGGTTAAATCTTACTTGCATAAAGAAATTTTTATATTTGATAAACTGTTTTTTTTTCTCTGAATAATTCCAAAGAATTTAAATATATGTAATTGTTGTGAACACAATTAAATGCCTCCATCTTCAATCTTTCATTGATTCTCTAACAGATTTCGTACAATTTTTCTTCCTCAGAAATTGCTGACAATGACTTACATTAATTTATATTGTAAGCAAGTTGCACATCTCAGAAGACAGCAATGAAAGGAATGAAGAGATCTGAATATGAGGCTAATCCACATAAATTCTCCCAAGGCCTTCCTTTTTTTCTTATTCGCTCCATTATCTAAAACGAAAAATCGATGCAAGTTTGTGCACAAAAATCATGCAGTATGAAGAGAGCTTAAAGCGTTTCCTTAAAATCAGTGATTTTTTCTTCTATTCCCAGAATATAAATTCAGAGAAAACATTAATCAATTATGCTTCTTTCTCAAGTTCCTTAACTATATTAGAAATGTTTTTTTTTTTTGGGCATCATATGGAAAAAAGATTTCAATTACATCTTTCAAAATACAAAAAAAAAGCCTGTTTAAAGTTTTTCATCACACTGTTCAATGGCATTTCCACATTCATTGCTATTTGAAAGCATTTTGAAACAATAAAAAATTTCTTCCGAGTTTAAATGAAAGACAACAAATAAGGAACAATTTGCAGTATGAAACAAAGAAAAAATAGAATGAATAAAAAAAGACATAAAATTCCGTCAGTAAAATTTTGTAAATCTGCCAAATAAACATTTGACGAGTGAAAATTAAATAGTAAGCTTAAAGTTCACATTATTTGTGCTTTTAAATCAATTACAACAAATTCCACTTAGAGAAATATCTGTAGAGAAAAATCAATGACTATGATATACTTGAAAGCTTCATTATCAAAATCCGAATATTGATGTCAAACTTATATAGTGGATAATGTTATCTTAATAACTGATTATTTATTGTTATTACAAAAATATTGGCAAATAGATCACATGCGATTAGTTCATTGAGAGAAAATACCGCTATAAAAGTATAAAAAATAAAAAATAAAGAAGAAATTACTATAATTGCCTGACTGAAATTAAAGTCAGTTTGTATTTAAAAATTTATTAAAGACATGAATTCTGTCCAACAAATGACGGTTTTATAATGGAACAGAAGTTATTTTACTGTATGTACAAAGAAAAATTTATGATGTTATAAAACTTAGGTATCTTATATTTGAGATAATTTAGGAGAAAGAAACTTGTAAAATAGAATTCCCAGATTTATAAAAATGAAAGAGAATATAACAAAGGATCAACAGCATCAGGAACATTTTTCATCAAGAGTACACTTTTCTCAACTCGCCACATAGTCGAAACCGTTTACCGCTGCTATTAATGCTACTAATTTCTCATTCAATTTTGTCATCAGATTTACATCATCTTTTGCATGCATGCTCAAAATAATCATTTTCTGGGAGCTCGTCAATAATTCGGCAAGCTCCGCATTCGTTTTCGGATGCCTTTCGACCTATAATCAATCAATCGACAGTTTTTATCAGTAGACATAACATTTGCCACTTATAAAAGAAGAAATTGTCAAATATACTTAGTACTGTACAATATTTGAATCGTTTTTTGCACAGCATTTTTCCTATAACAAAGATATTACCTTTGCAATTAGATGTGAAACAAATTTCCCAGAGGCGTGAACAGCAATTTTTTCATTTCTTGCTAGCAATATTAGCAGTGTTAAAAGAAGACCGGAAGGCGGATCTGTGCATTCGCGTAACTGACTCACCAATTGATCTTCATAGGTTTTGATTAATTCTATGCTGAAAATAAAAACGAGAAATTCCGAGATTAATCGTAAGCGAGAGATAAGTAAAAGAGAATTTCAAAATTCTATGTCTGAAACGACTAACTAACTCTTAGCAGAAGTTTTCAGAAACCGGACTCGGTTAAATAATTTGATGGAATTTGTTAAATCTAAAGAGAAATATAAACGCAGAAGCAGATAAACCTGAACAATACGTGATATGAATTGTTTTCTTTTTTAACAAAAGTTCATGAAAATTTAAAAGCAAACCGTCGTTTTTTATCAGGCAAAAGCAAACCGTCGTTTTTTATCAGGCATTTTTAAATTCAAGGCGCAAACAGCTGATGTACAAACACCAAATACTGCATCATGGAACGATTCGAGATCCTTTGTTGACAATGCTGTAAACAATTTCTCAACTGCCTTGCGATTTTCCGCATTCTCAATATTCGCTATTGTTTCATTGCGAGCCTAAAATTTAAAATTTTAAAAAAGAAGCGAAAATAAATTTCCCAACAATCACGCATTATTATAAATATAATGTAAATTGTGCATTAAATTGATTAAATTCATGAGCGAATTAGATGCAGTTTGTAAAAAATACATTATTAAGGTGAAATATTCTTAGTACTATCAGTAAGTGCAATGTTTGTCAAGTTTAAACAATTTCCAGCCAAGTTAATAATTCCTCATTTAATAGCACTTGTTAAAACACTAACATGAATCATGCATTACTATAAATTACCTTTGTGTTAAGAGTATCAACATTTTGTGTTCTCGATATATAAGATAATACATTATTTGCAAAATCTGTACACAATGTGCGAAGAAGATGTATTTGGAGATTAGAAGCCACTGTATCTGAATTTAATTCTTGTTTCAATACTGCATTATTTTCAGAAAGAAAAATTTCAGGAAATATACTTTTTAATTTTTTCTAAAATTTTTAACAACCACTTAAATTTTCGAGTCCCCATCAGTTGATAGAATAATTCTTTTTTCGAAATACTGATAAATTATCGAATTTTTCCATTCATCAGATAAATTCCAAATATTTACGGATATTCTACGCAGAATTTGACAATATAATAAATTCAAAAACATTTGTGTATGAACGTAAATAAAATTAACCTTCAAAAGTGGCTGCACCATCTTCGAAAATACAAATATTGTCATACAGCGCACATAATGTTTCCTGCAGCTGTGCATGAGCACGTTTGTGATCTTGTATGGATATCGCATGCACATTATCCAGCAGTAATTCTGTTCGACTTCTCAATAAATTTTCTGCTTTTGTCCGTATCTGCTCAGTAACATCCTCTAGCAATTCATTTGGTATATCATTCGTCTTTTTCAGTTCCTTGATTATTTCCTCTTCGGACAATCTAATAAGCAGGTCTAAAATTCGTTTTAAATAAAAATAAGAAAGGAAAAGGGACAAATTCAATCAATGCTGTGAATTATTAAACAGCAAATTGAATTCAAGAAAACCCAAGAAAAATAATTTATCTTCGGAAAGTCTTTAAAATTATGCATGTTATCAAGAAAGCACGTAAGAAATCGAAGTACTCATTAAAAAAGTGTTTCCTGCTTTATTGCTGGGACCAGAATAACATACCTAGAGTTGATTCTTCAGGGAGAATCTGTTTCAAAGTTTTTCCTTTCCCACCTTTACCTTTCTTGCTCTTCGCTGTATTCCACTCCTCATCTTGTTTCTATAAGCAAGTTCCTTTGCTTTTAAAAAAAGGTCATGATTGACAAAAACAATATAAATGAAATATGCATAAACACTTCCAGCAACATACTTTTTCCTGTTTTTTGAATGCTTTCTGTTTACCCCAGATGGAAGTAATCTCTTCAGCCCGTATATTGATCAAACCATCCAAAGCTTTCATCGCAAATGAGAGAAGTTGTTGACTGTAGATATAAGAAATACCGGGGACAAACAACCAATTCTTTAAAAACAGCGAAAAAATTAGACATGAAACACAAACTTCTTGCCGAAAAGGAAGCATAAAGTATTAATACATAATAGCCCAATCAATCAATTCATGACAAACCTCGTTATTTTTCACCAAAGAAATGATTGCTTGCTCAATGTCTGCCCTACTTTGAACAATTTCTGGCATATGCAGTCGGACATCAACAACCGATTTGGAATTCATCTAAAATACTTGTAGACCTTGAATTATAAACACATTGAAGTTTTTTGTGTATGGGAATTTTTAAGAAAATGTTCAAAATAAGGCTTAGCTATGTTTAAAATAAGTTTTACACTGACTAACCTCTTCCTTCACAACTGCTTCAATTTCATTCCAAACTTTTATGCTTAAAATAGCGGATGGGAAATATATTAGCGTCGAATGCTCCATGTCTTGTAATATTTCTTTCATATAAATCTTCGGCTCTGATATGAAAAGTTTTTTAAATACTGCTAACCCTGAAATCGTGAATTTTTAAACATATGTTCAACATTGAACTGAATCATATTATTATTTAAAGAATTTGCAAAAGCCGTTAGCCTAATTTTTAAGACCTCGAAATATACGACAAATGGTTAATAAATCAAAATATTACTCAACATCCCCTCTTGTAAGAAAGTCTTTAATATATACTGTTTAACCAGAATCGTATAAATATTTGGATGATATAGACAGCGACTCGAAGTACGAGCACCAATTATTTTCCCAGGAGCCTGAAAAAAAAATGGCTTCGGATAACAGAAGTCCAATAATAGACAACTGCAAAACTTCGAAATATTAGTAAGAAAAAAAACGACACAATAAAGAATTTAAATAAGTGATTAACATTCTTCTAAGAGTGGAAATTCCAAAAAATCTATTATCTGAATTATTTGAAGAAACATTTATTTAATAATAATAATGCTATTAGATGGCGGCTCCGTTGTTGCAGATATAAAAAACTTTACTATGCAATATTGTGATATTCCAAATTATTCGTTCTCTTCAAAAGATATTCTACCATTGACTGAGCCCAGCAAAATTAACAAATACAAAAATATAACAACTAGTAATTAAAGGATATTTTTAACTCTTTAAATTAGTTGCAAACATTATGCAAAAAACATTTTCTCATGAGACACATTTCAAAAAACTGTTTTTATTAAAGAACCTCTTTCACTGCATCAAGTTCATCGAAAAGTGACCAAAACATTGTATTTGTTAGTTGCAATTCCGACTGAAGTCTATCTATTGGTGTCACTCTAAAAAAACGACGATAAAAATATGATTCTATTCTTGAATCAGTACTTGAAATAAAATATGACAAACTTGGTCAGTCCACAAAGCATAGCTCTAATGATATTTCGCTGAGCTGATAAATAAGATCGAGTATAAAGTGCATCACCATCGCGTATAGCATCAATTTTTGAGCCAACTTCTACCAAAACCAGACTATTCAATATTTCAGTTGCCAAATCCCATGTTTTTACTAACTGCGATACAGAAACGATACCAGCATCCACTAACTGTTCATTTACGGCTTTGCATAACACATCTATATAATCCCTAAAAAAAATTCATTACATAATACACCAGAAAAAGTAGACTAAATACACGCTAATTAAGTGAGCTTTAAAGTTATATTTAATTATAACGTCACCTAAAAAACTTTTAATAGATTATTTTACGCTTGTTAATTAATGTTTGCTTAAAAATAACTTCGCTCTAACAGATCAATTATTACCTTTCTTAACTAACTAAAATAAAAGAAAAACTATCCTAATTTCATAAATAAGTGCTACAAATGTTGCCAAAATAGTGAAACAACAAATCTGGAAATCAGTTCAGCGTTGCAAAGCATAAAAGTGGGTGACTGCTTCGAAATGACAGATACCGCACTTTCAATATGCTCGTAATCGACATTCAAAGACTGCGCCAAATCGTACAGTGAAACTCGACCACATGAAATAAATAGACAGCATTTTCTACATACAATCTTCTTTTCAATGTTTTATTCAGCAATAAATATAATC